AACCTCCAAAACTCAAGATTTTTGAGGTTTTTTCAACTTTTTACAAAAATAGCAAAAATAAATACTTTTTTCAATTTATTCAATAGTGTGTTACAATATTATGTGTTTTTTCTAATGCTTGGAAATGCTTATATATATACTCTCATTATGTTGAAAATCCTATATTTTTTGTGCTTTAAATATATATATTTAATTTTTTGAAGAGAACTTAGAAAAAATAAAAAATAACAAAAAATAAAATTTTATATTTTTTGTGTAATCTTCCCATGAAGAATAATTGTGTCATAGATCTATGGGTGATCTACCATATCCATAGATCTACTGAAATTTCTAAATTATTCATTCTTTATTAATTTTTTGAATAAAAATATTTATTTTTTCAATTTTAGTATGAAAAAATATTTATTTTTGTAAAACTAAAAATATTTATTTTTGAAACTTTATTTGTAATTTTAAAATAATTTTTTCCAATTTTTAATTCATAGAACTATTGAGATTTATAGTAAAATATTTATTTTTTATTTTTTGTAATATTTATTTTTTCTAATTTTTCGTGTGATCTAACCATAATATTTACCATGTTGTAAATCTATGGATGTTCTACCACAATCCATAAAATTATTTTTCGATTACATTTTATTTTTTAATTTTTGTAATAAAAAGTAAAATAATTGTTTAAAATATAATAGAAAATGTTTCATTAAATTATTATTAAGCTTATATTTTGTAGCTATAACCTTATTAGAGAATACCCTTATGTTTCTGTATGTTGATTGTGACATTTTTTCATAAAAATCACTATATATAGCTCATTTAGGCCATATATTTAAAGTTATTGATGTATATTTATGATTTATTGGAGTATTTATAGTGTTTTCATGTGTTTCCATATGTATCTTAATTTTTCATCCGTATCCATGTGTATCCAAGGCATATCCCAATACATCTCTTAAATTTATCTTTCTGATACACTTGGCGTTTCCGATACTTTGAACCTTGGGTATACTACTTTTGTTTTCAATAACAAGAGATCCTATCTTGATACAAAGGGGCATAAGATACATATAAAAAGTGAGTTCAATAGCAGGAGGTAGAAACCAAAAAAAAAAAAAAAGAAAAAACGAGAGATGCAAGTATTGTTGTGCATCCCTCCTCAATAGGTGGGTCTAGTTTTTCTTTGGGACTCAATAGGGGTGGTAGAAAACCACAACATGTCATTGTAGAGATTTTCCAAGAGGCTATAAGAGGACTGAAAGAAAAGATTAAGTGTCTTGCTCAACTTGTAGCTCAAAATGCTACTAGGATGGTGACTTAACAAGTAATTTGTGTTGGGAAGAAGAAAAAACAAGCTTCTAGAGTTGATGAACAGCCTGAAAGAATGGTAGGATCCATCTAATGGACGCCAAGAATGTTGCGGAATGGGTGGGCGAATTTCAAAAATTTTCCTACCTTCTTCCAACTGGGAATCATATTCCCTAAATTTAGAAT